TTTTGAGACATAGTCTTGCTCTGTTGCCCAGGCTGGAGTGCTGTGGCATCAGCTCAGCTCACAGCAACCTCAAACTCCTGGGCTCATGCAATCCTCCTGCCTCAGCCCCCTGAGTAGCTGGGACTGTAGGCATGTGCCACCACGCCTGGCTAATTTTTTTTCTATTTTAGTAGAGACAGGGGTCTTGCTCTTACTCAGGCTGGTCTTGAACTCCTGACTCAAGTGATCCTCCCTCCTCGGCCTCCCAGAGTGCTAGGATTACAGGCATGAGCCACCCCGCCTGGCCCAGTTTTTGATTTCCAGTGACTACATTTTTTCTCTAGAAGTTCTGCTTTTTCCATATTTCCTTAGTTATTTTTAGTCATATCTCATTCTTTTCTTTATGCTTTTGATTCTTTTTTTATGTTTTTGATTGTTTTAAACATACTGTTCTTATTTTGTAATAATTCTGTAATCTTGATATCTATCCATTTCTTTCAGGTAGTCCCTGATAGCACTCATTATATGTTTTATAATTTTAGGTTGTGTAGTCATGTTCATTGCGGTTTTCATTACGGAAATTCCATGAAGCCTGAGTTGAGAGCTTAAACTGGTGTGTCATCTGTCTACCTGAGTGACAGGCACATGTGTTTCAAGTGATCAAAGGAAACTTTCTCCTATACTCCTCAAGCTAGGATATAAGCTCCATGAAATCAGGAGTCTTTGTTTTGCTCAGTGATGTCTCACAAATTGTCAAAAACAGTGCATGCCATGTACTAGGCACCCCACATGTATTTGTTGACCTGAATTCATTGTCTTCCTTTGCTGGTGGGTGGATTAATTTTGACTTATTCTTTGAGGAAATAGTGAGAGACTATTGTAAGTACTTTCTATCAGTAATAGCTGTGGTTTTCTTTTGAATTATTGCCTATTTGTTCTAGATGATTCCAGTTTTATGATAAGTGAACATTTGCCTACTTCCTGGGCCTATTTTTGTTTCTAAGGCCTCACATTAGTTTTGTTTAGCTCTCTGAGCCATCTTCAGTTTGTTTGTCACTAATCCTTGTATTTCTCTTTTTTGGAGGGAGGGAAGTCATGTATTTTTTTTTTAAATAAATTAATCAGATTAAGCTTTGGAGGTTAAAAAAACCTTATGCAGATGATATAGTTTAGTAGTGAGAATTTAGATAACCATCAGACATAGTGTGATAGGTGAAAAGTAAAAAAAATTAAAGAGAAAAATTTGTATTTTTTTCCCAACACGAAAACATTGGTACATTTTTCTGATTAATGTATTGATCATGTGCAGGAGAAAACCCACCCAAATTAAGGGGGGCAGTATAACTTAATGGTTAATTTATTTTTAACTTTAGTTTAATACTAAATTATTTTAAAATGAAATTTAAATGCTATTATCTAGCAGGTCTGGGGATTATCTTTAAAGAATATTAAGAAAATTTTACTGCTTTATATCATAACATTACCAATAAATTCAGCAGAATTCTTATTCATTTGGAATGATACAAAGTAGATGGAACATAAGTGTGAGCAGAAATAAAATTGCCACCTTGAGTACATTGAAGTTATAAAGAGTTTATTTTAAGAGATATTTTCTCTATTAATATCACATTGAACAGTATTTCTGGTTGAGTATGGAAGAAAACGAACTCATGTACTACTTGGTTTAGTTCTGTTGTCAAAGATATTTGCAAAAAGGGAGAATAAAAATGGGGTCACGTGACCTAATGATGACTAAATGTTGCTGCTTCTTTGTTTTGCAGTTCCAGTTCCAAGCAGATTTAATAGGCGAGTATCAGGTACGTGTTCTCTTTCATAACATACTGCTGAAATGCTATTTTAAGATAGGAATATCTTAAATAAAAATAAACTGATCTTTTAAATATAAAGATAAACTGACAACATCATAGAACGTTATGCAAAAAGTAAAATTATCTGTTTTTTTCATTCTGTTTTCATTTTAAGTTCTGAGTATATACGCACATATTTTTATGTTGCTATAGTTGGTGTGGTTTGCATTAAATGTCATTAATATTTTTCCATGTTTATAATTACAGCTTCTAAACATGATTTTTTTCTATTCTTTTTTTTTTTTCTTTTTCCACACATGACTAACTCAACATGACTAAAAATGATTTTTTATACTACTGTCCCTAGTATTCTGGATTATGCTGCCATTAACTTCTCACATACAATTCTTTGAGCCACTTGAATTATTTCCTGTTTTGGTGCTGGAAGTGGCAATCTGTCAGACACTGAGCATTACCTTGGCTTTTTCTGTGTCTTGTTTTCTAGAAACAGTCTACAGATTAGGCTGCAGGGAGAAATGCACCTTGCAAAGGCCGCTTTTCCACCACCCTGTCAATAATATGGATTTTAGATGTAAAATAGTACCTCACATAGTTTTATTTGGCATTTCTTTGGTTAACGAAAATTAATGCTTTACAAATATGGGAAATCTATTCATATTTTCCTGTATGAGACTAGTTTGGTAATATTTTGCCATTTTATCTGTTATGATCTAGATTATTTTTTAAATAAGTTTGAGTAATCTATCTAATTTTTTTTTTTTTTTTGAGAAAGAGTCTCACCCTGGCTAACGTTCAGTGACATCATCATAGCTCCTTGCAACCTCAAACTCCTGGGCTCAAGCAATCCTCTTGCCTCAGCCTCCTGAGTAGCTGGCACTGTAGGCACACACCATCATGCCCAGCTAATTTTTTTTATTTTTTCTATTTTTGGTAGAGAGGAGGTCTCGGTATCTTGCCTAGGCTAATCTCTAACTCCTGGCCTCAAGTGATCCTCCGGCCTCAGCCTCCCAGAGTGCTAGGATTACAGGTTTGAACCACTGTGGCAAGCTGACTCAAAAATTTTTAATATATGACTGGTACTTCAAACTCTGCCTGACACATCATAGGCATTCAGTAACATTCAGTAATTTATTAAATATATTGAATAAGCATTCAGTAATTTATTGAATGTATACATTCTCTTCTTCCTTTTTTTAATGATTGTTCCTAAGCTGAGAAGGCCTCCCTTTTTTCATAGAGCTGATAAATACATTTTCTTAAAGTTTTTCTTAAAATGTTTGACTTTTTGATAAGTCTAGAGTTTATTTGGTAGTACAGTTGGGATGTTAGTGTGTTTCCAAATTGCTAAGAAAGCGATATGTTTCACATTCTTTCATATTCCCTTTTTTTGGCAAGGTTTCTTGATTTTCAATTGTCATGTGACCTATCATCTCATAAGGCTAGGAATCTCTTTTCTATCCCTCAATCCTTTTCTTTGAGAAAATTGGCTCATTTATAGTTTCAGAAAGCCTCTGGTAACGTTCAAACACCAAAATCTGTTTAAAGGAAATTGAAGATTTTGTTCTCATGTTGAGAGAATCAATTTCCTGAGAGGAAATAGAGTAGGGATTAAGTTTCCTTTGAGACCTATGAGTTTTTATCTTCCATTTCTGTTCATCCCTACCCTGCACTTCTTTTTTCCCAAAAGGTTAGAAATATCTTTTAACATCTACAGGATAGATCAGGGAGAAGGGAGGGTTTCGTCACACTTCCTCTGGTGGTCATAGATGGTGTTAATTTATGAATTACTGTGTGGTGGTTCTCTGTTAGTGTTACTCAGTTCTTGAACCTTATGGAGGACTTGGACAAGTACATGGTGTTATCCTTCTTAGATTTTATAGTTTCAGGATTTAAAACCTTTTTATATCATTGAAATGTTAAGTTAAAATAAAAAATTTTTCAAAGAGTCCAAAAGGATGATGAAGGAGAGAAAATATCCTGTAGCAATAGGTAATATTTCTCCAAGTGCAGACTGCATGCTAGGTGCACAATTTTAAGGTCTTTGTAAATGCCTTTCTTGTATTGTTGAATATCATTTTCACAATAACACTCTGAGGTACATATCTTGATTGTCCCCATTTTACAGATGAAATGGCAGCAAAGCAGAGGTTAAGTAACTTGCAACAGTCGAGGTGATAATGTGCCCAAAGGTAGCATAGGTCCTAAGTACTATCTTTTCTATTTCCTTGCACCCTTTGGAACTCTTAGTCTTCAGCTAAATCCCCTAAATTCTTAGCCTGTTCTCTGAGTGCAGCCTTCATCTTTCCATTGTAGCTGAAGCTGGGCTTGCACTGTAGGCTTCTCAAGCAATGGCTCTTTTCTCTTCTACCTTCCTTGTAACACTGACAGGAAATGGGTGAATGTCTCTATTGCTTCTCTTGGCTGCTTCAAGACCATTCCCTGTCCCTTCTCCCTAAAACCCTCAGTTTAAAACTTCATATAATTATATTCTACCAGCCACTGCTCCCCCTTGTCATCTAATAATCCTGAGGTCATTGCTGCTTATTTCCACATAGATGATTCTTCCAGTGTCTGGCTTTTCTATTCCTTGACCTCCTCCCCTCCAAGGATCTTATTTTCCACTTCTCTACCCAGCTTCAGCCACTCATTCCCATGATCGTACTCTGATACAACAAACATTGCAACTCCTAACAGCTGAGTGAGTGATCCCATTCTCCAGCCACTACCTGCTGTCTTCTCAACTCCTTTGCTGTCCTGTTCCAACTCTGATAACCCGTTGATCTGCCTCCTTTTCACTATTCCTCACTTCCTCTTAAATTCCTTGATCAGTGATTATAATCACTCCCTGGCACACACCCTCAATGTACTTTTCCTTTTTTACTTGGTTGGCTTAACCACACTTTGGTTAAGCCCAATTCTCTACTTAGTTTGTGCCTGCACCAATACAGCGGAACTTGATTGGAGGAAAATAGATAGCCCTATTGACTGATCTTATTTCAGTTCATGATCAGTAACTTCTGGTAAGCTCTTGATACCAGCAATCATACTATGTTCCCATGTTTTTTTCACTCTCTGTTCTCCTAGATAAGTGGTTCACATCTTCTCTCTCTTAAAACTTCTTACACCTCCTCCCCCATTTTCAGCAGATGATTTTGTTCTCTATTTAACCAAGGAAATAGAAGCAACAGAAGAGGATTTCCATAGAGTCCCACCACCACATCTATCCTTCTTCACCAGCCTGTGAGTCCACAGTATCCACCTATGCTAGATCCCATCTGTTCATCCTTCTAGGAATTAGCTTCTCTCTACCCTGCATAATTTTTATCCTTTATCTGGATTATACTTTCAGCAAAGAAACATATTATTGGCTCTGTCTTCTTAAAAAATAAAATAAAACTTTTTTTGACCACTACTCCCTCTACAGCCACCACCTATTTTCGCTCCATATCTTTACAGCAAAACCCCTTGAAGGACTTGTCCATATTTGCTCTTTCTAGTTTCTCTCCTTCTATTCTGTCTTGAGCCCATTCTAGTCGGACTTGTGCTTCCATAGCTCACCAAAACTCTTTGTTTTCTCACTCACATTCTTCAGACCTTCATTTGAAGGACACCTTCTCAGTAATGCCTGTCTAAAATTTACTCCCCGCCTTGCCCAACACACACATACACAGTCTATCTCCCTCCCTTAATTTATTTGCTCCTTAGTGCTTTCTCTATCTATCTTAATTTATTTATCCTATTTATTAACTAGTTGCCTATACTAGAGAGTAAGTTCCATGAGGGCTAGGAATCTTACCTATTTTGTTCATTGGTGTATAGTTAACACTTAGAATAATATGAGTACATAGAACAATATGAGTACGTATGGATGGGTAGATGGATGGAAGGGAAGGAAGGAATCAGGAGAGATTACTATAGGCAAAGAAATGAAATACTAAGAGGGAGGCAAAAATTGCACTAGAGGTGGAAAAACATGGTTACTATTTGGCTAGTGCCAGAAAGGATGCATTCTAAGTGGAAGAGTATCGTAAAGAGTTGAAGGGAGTTGTGCTGGACCTGGCTGCTCTGCTTATGGGGGAGGAGGTAAAGTAAGGTTGGAAAGAGAGATGGGGAATGGGGCTCCTGATGTGAACCAATGACCTGGGCAAAAACTAGTTGTGTGAGGTTGTGCACTATGTCAAAGACTGCAGAAGAGACTTCTCTAACACTTCAGGGTGACCGAATAAATAATAATCTGGAATATAAAGCACTGTAGGAGAGGTAGCAGTTAAATTGAGTGCCTCCTATGAGCCCAGTCCTGTTTTTTAAATGTCATTTTCTTTTTTTTTTTATTATTTATTTATTGTTAGTTTTATTTTTTATTTCAGCATATTATGGGGGTACAGATGTTTAGGTTACGTATGTTGCCCTTGCCCCCCTCCCCAAGTCTGAGCTTCAAGTGTGTCCATCCCTCGGATGGTGCGCATCGCACTCTTTGTGTATGCATATACCCGTCCCTTCCTCTCCCCTCCCCTCCCCTTCCTGACATCCAATAAACGTTATTCTTATATGCGCACTTATGTGTTGATCAGTTAATACCAATTTGATGGTGAGTACATGTGGTGCTTGTTAAACGTTATTTTCTATTATTTACCCTTAACAGGTGAGTAGTGGATGGGTCCAAGCTCAGACCCCCAGTATGTATATCTTCAGAGGCATATTCTTCTCCTTCTTGATGCTGCTCTTTCTTGCAAACCACTGGAATTGAAAAGCTATGCCTTCCAAGTTATACATTCTAGCAGAACAGTCCCTCTACATCTGTGGTCCTGGCCCACCCCGGCACTGTTAGAAACTGAGGTGCACAGCAGGAGGCAAGCGAAGCTTCATCTGTATTTACAGCTACTCCCTATCGCTAGCATCACCACCTGAGCGCCGCCTCCTGTCACATCAGCAGTGGCATTAGAGTCTCACAGGAGCACAAACATACTGTAAACTGCATGTGAGGGATC